CCCTCACCCAGCAGACGTTGGTGGCCACGCGGGGCTCGGCGCTCAGCCCCTCCATCAGGCACTGCAGCAGGGGTGCCAGGTAGATGTCGTTGATGGCAGCCTCGGGCAGCATCTCACAGATCCTGCCCACAGTCCAGGCTGTGGTGTCCCTCACCACCACGCTGGGATCCTTCATCAGCTCGATCAGCGTGGGCATGGCCTGGGGGAGCAGCAAACGGCGTGAGAACGGGGGAACACAAACATTGTCCACCCCAAAAATCACCTCATAAGCAGGTCTGAGCTCAAATAACCCAACACTCCCCTCCAATAACCATTGTCCACCCCAAAAATCACCTGATGAGCAGATCTGACCTCGAATAACCATTGTCCACCCCAAAAATCACCTGATGAGCAGATCTGAGCTCCAATAACCCAACACTCCCCTCCAATAACCATTGTCCACCCCAAAAATCACCTGATGAGCAGGTCTGAGCTCCAATAACCACTGTCCACTCCAAAAATCACCTGATGGGCAGGTCTGAGCTCCAATAACCCAACACTCCCCTCCAATAACCCACTGTCCATCCCAAACCTCACCTGAAGACCATGTTTGAGCTCTAATAACCCATTTTCCATCCCAAATCTTGCCCGAATGACCAGGTTTGAGCTCCAATAAAATAACCCAACCATTTCCATTTTTTATCCCCACATCTCACCCGAATGACCATGTTTGAGCTCCAATAACCATTTTCCACTGTTACCTGGATGACCAGCGGTTTGAGCTCAAATACCCCGTTTTCCATCCCAAAAGCTCCTGAATGACCATGTTTGAGCTCCAATACCCCATTTTTTTCCCCCAATCTCACCTGGATGACCATGTTTGAGCTCATTTTCCACTCTCACTTGGATGACGAGTGGTTTAAGCCCCAATACATTTTTTCTCCCCCACTCTCACCTGGATGACGAGCAGTTTGAGCTCCAATAACCATTTTTTCCCCCAAATCTCACCTGATGACCATGTTTGAGCTCATTTTCCCCCAATCTCACCTGGATGACGAGCGGTTTGAGCTCCAATAACGATTTTCCACCCCAAATCTCACCCGAATCACCATGTTTGAGCTCATTTTCCCCCAATCTCACCTGGATGACGAGCGGTTTGAGCTGGTTGGGCTCGGGCCCCTCCAGGATGCAGCCGAAGGCCATGACGGCGGCGTCGCGGTACCTCCAGTCGGGGTTTTTGATGTGCTCCTTGATGAAGGGCAGCACGTGGGGGACGATGTCGTCCTCGCAGCACGTGGCCAGCAGCATCAGGCACACCCCCGCTGCCTTGCACGGGTTCCAGTCGTCATCGTCGTCGTTCTCGTCCTGGAAACGGCACCGGGGC